TCTTGGACAATGGAGCACCACTTCAGATTTTGGCCTTGGACCCTGAAGGGGTTAAGAGAGGTTCCTTAAATAAATAAATAATTTATTTCTTTGCAAAAGTTACAATGTGTGTTTACATATCATAATATGATTGGAGCAAAGAAAGCCACTATCATGCCGAGACATTTCAGGCAGACTTGATCTACTACTTATAGACTACTGAAGTCTAGACAAGTGAAAAGTAATAGTGGTTACCAATGTTTTGCTGATTGTGGCACCAACTACTGGCAGCCTTCTGAATTTCTCCTTACTGTTATTACATATTATTATTATTATTATTATTAATATTACATATATTGTATTATTATTATTATAATAATTATTATTAGTAGTAGCAGTACGTATGTGGTGAGGGGCTCTTGATCTATGGAACTGGACCTGTGCTCCAGTTCCCTAAATTAACAATAATAATAATAATAATAAATAATAATAATATGTATGTACTATTACTAATAATACGCATTTAATAAGAAGAAGAAGAACATAAGAAAGGAGGAACACTGCAGGAGGCCTGTTGGCCCATACTAGGCAGGTCCTTTACAATCCATCCCACTAACAAAATATTTGCCCAACCTAATTTTCAATGCTACCCAAGAAATAAGTTCTGATGATTCTATTTACTCATTATGCAAGTCTCACTCAAATCCAACCCCTCTCACTCATGTATTTATCTAACCTAAATTTGAAACTACCCAATGTTTTAGCTTCAATAACCCTACTAGGCAGACTGTTCCACTCATCAACTACCCTATTTCCAAACCAATACTTTCCTATATCCTTTCGAAATCTAAACTTATAAGAACATAAGGAGGAACACTGCAGCAGGCCTGTTGGCCCATACTAGGCAGGTCCTTTACAATCCATCCCATTAACAAAACATTTGCCCAACCCAATTTTCAACGCTACCCAAGAAATAAGCTCCGACAACTCCATCCACTCATGTGCAAGTCCCACTCAAATCCAACCCCTCTCACTCAGTATTTATCCAACCTAAATTTGAAACTACCCAAAGTCCTAGCCTCAATAACCCAACTAGGTAGACTGTTCCACTCATCAACTACCCTATTTCCAAACCAATACTTTCCTATGTCCTTTCTAAATCTAAACTTGTCTAATTTAAATCCATTACTGTGGGTTCTCTCTTGGAGAGATATCCTCAAGACCTTAGTAATGTCCCCTTTATTAATACCCATCTTCCACTTATACACTTCGATCATGTCTCCCCTCATTCTTCGTCTAACAAGTGAGTGTAATTTAAGGGTCTTCAATCTTTCTTCATAAGGAAGATTTCTAATGCTATGTATTAATTTAGTCATTCTACGCTGAATGTTTTCTAAGGAATTTATGTCCTTTCTGTAATATGGAGACCAGAACTGAGCTGCATAATATAGGTGAGGCCTTACTAATGATGTATAAAGCTGTAATATAACCTCTGAACTTCTGTTGCTTACACTTCTTGATATAAATCCCAGTAATCTGTCTGCCTTATTACATACGCTTGAAATACAACCACTCGACTTACAACCATGTTTTGTATGCAAATGTTCTGGGAAATAAACAACTGTTTGTGTTGTATACAGTGTTTCTCCTAAACCTTACAGTATAAAATACAGTACTAACAGCATAAAAAATAAAGTAAAAAATAAAATAACAAAGTGAAACAATAAAATAAAATCATTACAACATGATGTTGATATTCAGTAGTAAGGTTCGACTTACGTCCAATTTGACCTACGACCGGTTGGTTGGAACCAAGCTTGGTCGTAAGTCGGATGGTACCTGTAACACTATAATAATAATTATAATAATAGTATGTACTATAATAAGTGAGTTTGAGAATGCCACCACGAGATGGCAGAGCGTAACTCATTGCCGAAACATTCTGAAAGGGAGGAAGAAACAAACCTCCTTGGACAGTTTTTTATTGAAACACCCTGCAGATGGAAGTGTGAAAAGCGTGGAGAAAAAGCCAAAAATCAGTGAATAGTGAACTGAGATAAAAATAAAAATTGTAGGAGTTAAGTTCAGTGATAAAGTCTAGCATTAAGTGTGTAACAATTAACCCTAAAACTGTCCAAACGTAGATCTACGTTCACTCCGACCTTTATTTTCTCAATTTGAAAGCATGTAAAAACAACATAGATCTATGTTCGGAGCACTACGCACGTAAATGTAGATCTACCTTCGGACAGTTTAACCCTTAAATGGTCCAAACAGAGCAACATTCAAATTCGTAGTGCTACAAAAGTAGATCTACTTTTTTTTTACATATTTTCAAATACAGTGGACCCCCGGTTAATGATATTTTTTCACTCCAGAAGTATGTTCAGGTGACAGTACTGACCGAATTTGTTCCCATAAGGAATATTGTGAAGTAGATTAGTCCATTTCAGACCCCCAAACATACACATACAAACACACTTACATAAATACACTTACATAATTGGTCGCATTCGGAGGTGATCGTTATGCGGGGGTCCACTGTATAACAAAAAAAAAAAATGTAGATAATAGTTTTTTTTACACGTTTTCAAATGTAAAACAAAAAAGATCTACATTTTTTTACATACTTTCAGATGTTGAAAAAACGTATATATATGTTTGGACCATTTAAGGGTTAAGGGCCATAGGCCCTAAGGTTTAGAGATTTTAAAATTGAGTTGAAAAATTCTGTAAATTAAGGTTTTCTTACCAGAAAATAGTGCAAAATTCTGGTAACATGTTGATGCAATCAGCTTGTTTCTATCATATTTCTAAGTATGTTTTTTTCAAAAATGTAATTTTTATGTTTTTGCTCTCATCAAGAGGACATGTTGGCAATTAGTATTTTTTTTTTTTTTTTTACTCCAGAAATTACTATTATTTCATTCTAAATTACTGATTATTTCATTCTAAACAAGTTCTGTGACGACTAAAGTGAAGAGCACAGAGCTGTTGCTGCTCAGTTGCCTCTGGGTTATCAACAATGATAGGGGTTTGCAACACGCTCTGATTTGGTGTTTCATCTCCATAGAGTTTTATAGAAACAAAAACTTGAATAACTCAGGAATAAGTTATTGACATTTGTTGAACTGATTTGCAAAGAGTAATAATAGGAGTGTCATGATTTTTTCAGACAATATTTATGAATGATGGTTCAATGTAATTACAACGTTGTTTTGCAATATGTTTTACCATTTTGTTTTTATTGACTCTTATTCTCACAAAAAATGCCAAAAAGCAACAACACAAATTTCAAAAAATTTTTATAATGCAATCTATTAACATTTCTCGCAAAAAAGTTTGAAGGCTAGATAATCTAACTCTTTATCTTTCATCTGATGTTGACTAGAACATTGTACAACTTACCAATTTTGTAGAAATAAGAGGGATTTATGATAAATACAGTTTTTCAATATCTTGCAACTTTGCAACAAGAAGTCCATGCATATAAATGCGTATAGGATGCAAACTGCTCCTTAACAACAGCATAAAGATACACTTGAAATTGGATTTCAATTTTAAAATTTCTAAATCTTAGGGCCTAGGGGCCTTAAGGGTTAAGTGTAGCATTAAGAGTGTAGCAATTAAGCAATAGAAAAAGGATGAAACAAAATGAACTCCTGACAACATACATTGCTCTGCCTATCTTTTCCACTGTCAACTTTCACCAGCATCTGTTCTCCAAGGTATGTACAATAGTTTTTTTCTACATTATGTTTTCCTTATGAAAGTAGTGATCTAATACAGTTAGCCTCACAAACTCTGTTTTATATGTAATAACACCTCTGAAGGGGAGACGTTTTCATAGCGGGAGCAAGAATGCCCGTGACCACTCTCCTCCACCGCTGTCATCACTAGCCACATATGTAATGACATATTTTATTCATTCTAAAGTGTATATCAGGTTTCTATGTCATTTATATTATTTATTAAATCATATTAGATGAACTGTGATAGATAAATTAGCCACAGAGTTGACCTTAGCGTTATTTTGTCATGCCTCCTGAGAGCAGGAATTCCGCTGGAATGGATTAATGCAATTTCAATTAATTTAAATGAGGAAAATTGACTCAGAATACGAACAAATCAGGATATGAGGAAGTTCACGGAACGGATTACGTTCATAAGCTGAGGTTCCACTTACAGTTGTTCATAACTTGAAAGTTTGTATCTCTAGCACCAATTTTTGTATCTAAGGGAGTGTACAGTGTGTAACTGGGTTTTAATGGGATAACAAGCTAAACTTTACACTGAACACTGAATCCCTAACACTAGGGTTTCCAGGACCACAAATCCAGTGCTAAACATGGCAATTCTATACTGTGTATGTACATAATGATAGAGTATGTACAAAAACAAACTTACTGGTATAATGCAGTATGTAAATATATGATGTTTAAGACAAGGCTATATGAACATACATGCAAAGTCATTTTAGCTATAGGCTACAGAAATGCTGAGTAAGCCAAAGGTGAATTTAAAAACTTGTTAAAAATATAAATAAATCATGACCTTAATATAACTAGATCATAACGACAACTGCTCAAGCCACTGACTCTAGGAACTACACATTAAAGTGCTAATTATTATCATTATTTTTGGAAGTGCTAAACCTGTAGGGATCATACAGCACATGAGAAATGAGAAGCAACTGTTTTGATCTAAGGGAAAAAGAGACCCCTCACCAGTACCAATGTACCTCCTTTACCTGTGAATCTTGAAGGGCATTAAGTACTAATGAAGTACATACTGTATTGTACTGTATGGTAATGAATGGTACCATATTAAAAAAAAAAAAAAAAAGTAATTTACAATTGAGAAAAATGCGCAAGATAACTATGCAGTCCTTGTCACATTACTGGAGAAAATAAAATTAAACAAGAAGCTAGGTGCTATATACTGCATGAAGTGATTATTGTATCTAAATTTTACTGTGCTAGACAAAAGATAATAAAGTTAATAGCATATCAAATACTCACCTGGAAAAGAATTTTAATGAAGACTCGTGAAGAACTGGTTGTTTCATCCTCATTTAAGCGAATGTGGCTCAAAACTTCCCAAGAAATTGCATCTGAAAACAGCAAATGAGCAAAGAGCCGAGCTACATTGCGAAGTTTTTCTGTCTCAAGACGATGACATGTGTCATAAGCATCCATGAAGATTTGCTGGAAAGGTTCCTGATAAACTTTATTGATCATACAGAAGCGTTGAGCCAAAAGCCCATAAAACTTTATATATGTGCGCTGTTGTGCACAGCAATCTAAGATCATGTTACATAGTTCCGTCTCCCAACCTGGCTTGATTTCTCCCTTTAGAAGTTTGTGAGCACATTCATCTACATCCAATGATGACTGTATAGTCAGATACACTGTACGACGGAAGGCCACCATGTTTGTCTCTGTCTGGTCAATAATGGTTTGTGCTTCTTGTTTTTCAGTTTCATCATCAGTCTCTTCATCATCACTATCAGAACCACTCTCTGAACCACCTCCTGAACCACTTTCATCACTATCATCACCAAGGATACCAGCACGAATTTCTTTGTACTTTTCCTCGTTTTCTTCATATTCTGGGTCATGTTTAAAGACATTGAGAATGTCTTGACCATCCAATTTTCCATCTAACTCGACAATGTGTGTAAACTGTTCATCTTCTTCAACAAGATCCAGTTCTTCTATGACAGATGGATGATCTTTGAACCCATCCTTAACTATTGCGAATATTACTTCAAGCATATATGCAACACGTTGTTCTAATTTACCTTCATGTAATATATGCCTCAATGTTTCAAATATAATCTTCATTCCTCTGGGACTTACTTCATTTAGTTTCATACCACATTCTGTAAGAAAAGTAATAGCTAATTCACAAGAATCATTTCTCGATTTCTCTGCAACTTCTGATTCATCTGTTGCATCTTTAGCTCTCTCAAGTAAGAATGTTAAAATCTCCAAAGCTACAACTTCATGAGCAACTTGCTGGTTTATAAGATGTGCAATAAAACGACAAGATGACATGCACACATTTTTGTCATTTCTTTTAACTCCTCGTCGGAGCTGAATAACTAAACGTTTTAATAACAACTCCCCAATCTGTGGAAACTTAGTGTTGATAATAGCAACCATAGCTGCATAAACATGAGTAAATGTTGGAGAAAATGACTGGGCCTGCATCAGAGCTCTGCATAATACACCCCTTCCTCGGACAACGTTTTCCTGGAGTAACTCTCGAACAATGATGCCAATGTTTGAAACATTAACTTTATTGACAAGACCATTGATAGATTTTTTTAGTGCTTCCCATGCTAATCTCTGGAATACAGCACTTGTCTTATCTGTTATCTGTGCTTGCATCATTTTCAGTTTTGCTGGAGGTATATAGGCACCACCAGTTTTGGTTGTTAATGGATCCATTACTGGTTTTTTTATTAATTCCTTAGGTGGTGGCTCAGATTCTTTATTTTCATTCTTTTTGTCTTCTTTACCATTTGTTTCATCTTTCCGTTTCTTAGCATGTCTGACGTCTTCTTCATCACTACTCTTCTTATAATGATGTTCACTCTCTCTTCTGTCATCATTCCTCTCTCTTTTTCTTCCTCTTTCTGAGCCTTGCCCTCTACCTCTTGGGTCTTCAATCTGAATACCTAGTTTATCAGCATATTTATTCCAATATGTATCACTTGTTTTGAGTTGTTTAGATTTTGGTTGCCGTACACTATCTTTATTGTGGTCCTCCCCCCAGTATCGTCCACCTATCTGCGGTTCTTCCGATTCTTGCTGTCTAGTAGAATCCTCATCCTCCGAGCTATGATACTTAGATCTTTTATTATCCCTGGCAGCTCTTTCATCTCTGGAAGTTATATCACCGGAAGCTTTATCATCCTTGCAAGTTTTATCATCCCTTGAAGATTTATTATCTTTGGTAGCTTTATCATCACTGCACTTTTTACTCTTTCTGTCCTCCATCTTTGAATCATGCCTACTGCTTGAATGAGAACGTGATCGAGAGCGAGACTCTTTTTCCTTACTACTGTTCTTTTTGGAATGTGATGGGCTTGCACTTTTGGAGCTGCCATCTGAAGTCTTTAGCTTCTTGCTACGAGCAGCCTCTCTTTCCTTTTCTAAAGTTTCATTCCTCTGGCGAATTTCCTCTTCTATCTCCAACTGTTCTTCTAACTGCCTCTTCTTTCTTAGCAACTCCTGTTCAGTTGTTTCATCACTGTCATATATTCCTGATCTATCGTCTTCCTTCACGTTTTCCTCGCTTTCACTACTACTACTGGATGATTTTTTGCTTTTATGCTTCTTATGTTTCCTTTTTTTCCTGTGATCATCTGGATCAGAACTCCTTTTTATCATTCTTGATTTACCTTTCCCACCACTTCCATGCTTGTCACTATCTGATTTGCCGCTTTCTTTTTTGCCATATTTTTTTACAATTCCTGAATACTCGCTTTCAGTTCCTGATCCCATCTTCTGCTCTACCAAAGTTTTGGTTGCATATCTTTCCCTTACTGACATTTCTTTTTTCTCTGTAACATTATCATCTTTCCTCTCAACATTTATAATGATTTGTTCCCTGGATTTTAAGTCATCTTGTCCACAACCAGATTTTTCTATGATCTCCCTTTCTGAATTTTTATCAGTTTTTTTATATGCCTCATAACTTCCATGTTCTAAAAGTGTATCGTCTTTTAAATTCATTTTAATTTCTGTGCTTGATTTGTCTCCCTCTGATTTGTTTTTAAGATGAAATCCTTCTTCAAATTCCTTTGTCTTTAAAATTTTCATTGGTGTATCAACAGTCTTCAGGCCCTTATTATTCAATTCCTTATTGCCAGTTCCATTATCATCAGGTGAATTTCTCCTGACATTTCTTTCCAACTCAGAATCACTGCTATCAGATGCTTCCCCACTCTCTCTCTCATTTTCATTTGGTGTCTCTTCGGCATTATCTTGTACCAGTTCTAACTTTTCAATTTTATTTTTGATAGGTGCTTGAGTTACATCTGCCGATTCAAAATTTTCAACATTAGCAGCAGAACTCTCATCGGATTTCTCCTCTGCTAATCCACGAGGCACATTTTGAAGTTTTAGTGATTCAAGATCATCATTTGAGCTTTTTGTTCTTTTTCCTGAAATTTTACTACTAGAATTGTTACACGAGCTTTCATCAACATTTTCCTCAGTCAACTTTTCTGCTACCTTTTCAGGACCTAAGCATTTACTATTGGTTTCTGAATTATTTTCTTTTGCCTTTTCAGGACCTAACTTTTCAATGTTAACTTCTAAATTTGCTATTGTCTTTTCACAAACTTTTTCTTCTGCATTTTCTAGAGCTTTCACTGCTGCTTTTTCAGGACCTTTCACCATTGCCTTTTCAGGGACCTTTACTATCGTCATTTCAGGATCTTTTTCTGCTGGGATTTCAGAACCTATTTCTTTTGCCTTTTCAGGACCTTGTATTGTTGACATTTCAAAACTATTTTCTGATGCATTTTCAGGACCCTTTTGTGCTTTACTTTCAGGATATTTTTCTTTTGTACTTTCAAAACCTTTAAGTGTTGCCTCTTCAGGAACCTTTGTCTCTCCAGGATAATTTTCTGTAGATTTATCAGAATCTTTCATTGCCTTCACAAGACCTTTTGTTGCCTTTTCATCACATTTTTCTGTGATTTTTTCAGGATCTTTCATTGCCTTCTCAGGGCACTTTTCTGTAGACTTTTCAGGATCTTTTATTGCCTTTTCAGGGCCTTTAAATATTGCCTTTTCAGGCCCTTTTAATACTGCCTTTTCAGCAACTTTCAACATTGCCTTTTCAGGACCTTTTAATGCTGCCTTTTCAGGACCTTTAATTATTGCCTTTTCAGGACCTTTTATTGTTGCCTTTTCAGGACCTTTTATTGTCTTTTCAAGACTTTCTTCTGTTGCCTTTTCAGGAGCTTTTATTGTGTTTTCAAGACCTTTCTCTGTTACCTTTTCAGGACCTTTTTCTGTTGCCTTTTCAGGATCCTTTATTGATGCCTTTTCAAGACCCTGATCTGTTGCCTTGTCATGACCTTTTTCTGTTGCCATTTCTGGACTTTTCACTGATTTTTCATAATCTTTCTCTGTTGCCACTTCAGGACCTTTTACTACTTTTTCAGAACCTTTTTCTGTTGCCCTTTCATAGCTTTTTTCTGCTACATTTTTGGAACTTTTTTCAGTTACCTTTTCAGGACCTTTTATTGTTACCTTTTCAGGATCTTTTATTGTTACCTTTTCAGGATCTTTTATTGTTGCCTTTTCAGAATCTTTCATTGCTGCCTTTTCAGGACCTTCTGTTGTCTTTTCAGAATAATTTGCTGCCTTTTCGGGATCTTTTAGTTTTGCTTTTTCAGAACCTTTTTCTGTTGTCTTTTCAAGACCTAACTTTTCACTGCTCTCATATAAATTTTGTGTTGAACTTTCAGTACCAAGTTTTTCAATGTTAGTTTCTGAACTTTCTGTTGCCTTTTCAAACCCTGATGTTTTTGGTTTTGAATTTTCTTTTGCCTTTTCAGGACGTAAGTTTTCAATGTTCATATTTAAATTTAGTGCTACATTTTTGTTAGAACATTTATTTTCAATCTCTCTCATCTTATCAGAAATCTTACTAAAGGATTTTTCAGGCTTTGTTTTACCATATTTAGTATCTATAATATCAATATTTTTACTTTCTAACTGCTTTTGACATATCTCTTTCCCAAGTTCTGAGGTAGTTTGCCTATCCATTTTCTTTTTGGACATTTCAAGTTCCGAGTCTTCAGAATCACTGCTAGAGCTCCTATTACTTATTTTCTTTTTGGATGAGCTCTTTTTATAATCGGAATCTTCAGAACTATGATCAGAAGTCGTGTCCACTTTTCTCTTTAATGCTTTTTGAGATATTTTTCCTTTCTCACCAGTTTCTGAATCAGAGTCTGAACTTTCATATTTTTGTGATTTCTTTTCAACAGCCTTTTCATCTTTAACTTTTTCAGTTTTCAGTTCTTTAGGTTTACTTGGTTTAGCATGCTTTTTCTTTCTATATTCATGATCACTAGAATCATACTTCTTAGCAACATCTGTATCTTCATCAGAAGAATCAGTAGTGCTCTCTGATTCTTTCTTGATTTTAGGATCGTCATCTGATGAAACATCACTGTCTTCAGATTCCTTCTTCTTCTTTGTGTCTCCATCAGACGAACTTTCACTACTTGAGTCACTAGTAGATGAACTTTTTCGTGATTTTCTTTCACTTTTTCGACCTCTGCGATCTGTGGAGCGTGATCTCCTGGATCTTTCAGGAGTATATTCTTTATGATGCCTTTCTGACCGCACATTTCGATTACTAAAAACCTCCATCCTATTTCTAGCTCCGTATCTGTCCCAGATTCTACCTCTGCGTCTATATCGTTCATCTCTGCCTCTGTACCTATCCCATGTTTGCTGTTCATCATCAGAGCTAGAATAATCCCTTCCATATCTTCGTCTATCACCTCTCATTTGTTCTCTCTTACGATGATACCTTTCATTTTTTGACGGATATGAAGTCCAACGACGGCGACCTCTGTTCCAACTTCTGTATTTTTCTCTAAGTGATCTGTCCCTGCTCTGACTTCGCTCACGACTTCCACTCCTTCTGTTATACTTTTGATATCTATCTCTGTCCTTTTCCCTTTCACGTCTATTACTTCGCTCCCTATCATGACTCCTCCTGTATCTGTCTCGTCGATCACTCCCAGGGGAGCGAGAATGACTGCGGCTGCCCATCTGGAATATGAAAATTATATGAAGGAAAATAATGTACCACAATCTGTATTGCATGAACAGCAGTGCCTTCATTATTGCTTTTTCTACATATAGTACTGTATATAGAAAGCCTATGGTTACCAATATGTGCCGTAAAACTGTCTAGATTCTAACCAAAATATTTTATTTCCAACAACTGATTTATGTATTGCAGTATTTTATGTTTCTAGCAAACATTCAACCTTGGAATCCCAAAATTAGTCACCAAAGAAGTATCAATCTCTGTCTACATCTCTCAGATTGCTTGAGCAATGATAGTTGTAGGCACAATTAGAGAGCACTGTGTCAACATTCATGTGGTCCAAGACAGTTATGGGCTATCATGGAATGATAACACATAATATAAGATCAACAGATATAACAAACAGAATACATCGCATTTTCTAAAGAACAGAACACAGGAGGACAGTAATACCATAGTAAACACAGCAAAATCTAACCTTAGCAAATTAAAAAGTACAGAACTCTAAGGAACAGGCCTGACATCTTCATTGACACTTATCTTTATAGCAAACATGGATATAAACACTAGCTCCAGCTTTATATGATCCTTTATGGACAATACCAAAAAAATGCATGAAAGTTGCCATGATAAAATACACAAAAATCACAGGCAGATATCAATATTTTCCAGTGGGCAATGGAAATAATACTGGCCAACATTAAACTTATTTTGGTGTGAGTGGAGGGAAAGGAAAGTCTGTGGGTAAGAAAGGGGAGGGGAGGGGGGAAGCTTGGTGGAGAGACATGTTCTGTGGGTAGGGGAGGGGAGTATGTTGGAGGGAAGCAATGAAGTCTGCTTCTTAAAATACTGTATGTACATTAATAATCTTATAAAATAACTTTTGTTTCAATATTTTGCAGTATTATGAAGTACACTTTAATAAAGGCTCTATTTTTTTCTTATCTTATAATTCGATACTGAAATACTGTGGCAAACCCTTGGCATTCACAGGAGTTATATTCACAAATGGTATAACAAATGCCATATCGTGAAAACTACCTTACAATCTGCAGACATGCCCATATCAAACACAGCACACCCCTGATGTCCCTGGCTTTTGATAAACTGTTCAGATTTTACAAAAAATGAAATACACTTGTGCAATACAGTGCAAACCATTTGTACATTTCCCATCAAGGCAGGGTGACCCGGAAAAAAAGAAACACTTTTATCATCATCATTCATCCCATTAATGTCTTGCCAGAGGCGTGCCTACACTACAGTTATAAAACTGCAGCTTATCAATACCAATCCTTCAGAGTCCTGGAGGACTCATGACAGCCTCATTGTGGGAAAGTACACAGAATTGTGGTTCTTTACAGTGGTCAAAATATTGTACAATAAGTACAGTACTGTGAATAGCTAAGCTCAGCGATTACCACAGGCATGAATATCAAGGGTTTACATCAGTAAGCACAAACATATTCATTAAAAAAAAAAAGAGACAGTTGAATTGGTGTGCTTATAGAGAGAGACATGAAAGAGTGCTATAAGTAAGTTTATTCAGGTACAGGTACCCATAAATAGTTACATAAATTATCATACAAAGCAGCATATATGTAGATTACCTAGGATAATCCCCCCCCAAAAAAAATCCAAATAACTTACTTTCATTAAGGTCTTTGTAATATCTTATTATTTAAATCTTAAAAGTTAAAACAGTTCAGTAACTCAACTGTGTGAAAAGAAGTTACAATAAAAGGAGATATACTAGGAATAGGGTAAACTGAATTATTAACATTAGAGAAAAGATCAGATCAAAGTAATAGGTACATGAATGTTACAGTATGCACTATGAGGTGCATAGAGAACATATCACAAAACACATCTTATAGTATAGCATATAAGCAAAATCAAAGTAAACAGGTCAGGTAACACAATGCCCATCCTGGAGTTGCCATGGACTGGGTGAGTAGAATGAGCCTACCTTTAGATTTGGGTTGACTCCTTAGTAGTAAACATTGCTATGTTGATATCGGATTTGCGGACAGAAGAGTGTATGTTTATCGTGGATCTCATGAGTATCATTGGCAAACAGCAACTGTGGCAACTCCCACTTTATATCTAATTCATTAATACATCTTTTAGTCCCACACCTTTCCCCAAAACTCTACTGTTCACTACTTTTACAATCCTACCCATAAATACCATATGTTAAACAACCATGGTGACATCACACATACATTTTTAAGACTTACTTTTACTAGAAAATAATTCCCCTCTCTCCTACATACTCTAATATGAGCCTCACTATCCACATAAAACTCTTTGCTTTAATAACTTACTACCTATTCCATACATTCGCATCTTCTGCCACAGGGCTATCCTATCCATAAATACAACAGAAGTTACTTACTTTTAGGTACTCTTCATTTACGTGCTTCAGTGTAAACACTAAAGTCTACATATGATATTTCAAAAAAAGTTTCCGTAATGTTAGTGCTATTATATGTTGTTAGGCATATTACTGTATTGTTGTATGTATGTATGTAGTTAGATGTATAAGGTCATCCAAATTTCTCTTGTAACCAAGCATTAAACACATTGATATAATAGTCATACAGCAGAAATAAATTATGATTTAACCTAAGATAATCCACAAAAGGCAAATATAAGGTTGACTTTCCCAGAGCATAAAATCCAAGCGTAAACCTGAAAGCATATATCTTCCCCATGATAATTAATATACCCATCATAGTCCTCTTCCTCAGGATCTGTGCAGTTGATTTAGATTAATATGATTACATTCATGTAAGAGCTATAAACCATTGAGGTCATACAGTACCTGGGGAAATAGGTAAATTTAATTCAGGTACAATTACACAATCTTTAATTATTATTATTATAATCAAGGGGAAGCGCTAAACCCGTAGGATTATACAGCGCCTGGGGGGGGGGGATGTGGAAGGCATTCAGGCTTAATTCGGGGAACTGGAGCACAGATCCAATTCCCTAAATCAAGAGCCCCTCACCAACAACAAGGAACCTTCCCTGAGGGGCCACAATTTTTAAATGATTACGTCTGTCTTACATAATGTGTAAATTATTTTGGATTCCTCCCCCCCCCAAAAAAAAAAAAATCAAAAGTGAATTATTTCCAGTGAGGTCTTTCGGGTGGCAATCATGTTCGATGTAAGGAAGGCAAGGTCAGGTTTACTTCCCTATATTAAGAACCCAGACCAGCATCAAGAACTTTCCTCCAGGGATACTGTATTTAGAGATTCCTTCTCCTGATGACGGTACACAGTGCGTTTTGCACAAAGTGTTTATACATTCATCCCATCATTTGTCTACAACAGCCTACGTGTTTATCAATATCTCAAGGAATAATACATACTGGCACTTACATTTCATCCAGTATGAAGGATACACACTAGCTATTTCTCAAGAAATATCGAAATATCTTCTTATTTTGCGATTATTTCCAAAAATGTCCGCTGTGTTCACACGTCATAGTCGTTCTTGTAAGGCGAGCATCCGTATCCACCGGAGAATCCACAACCCAAAATCTGGATTCTGACTTTAGTTTGCTAGTGATAGAATTCCTTTATGGAATCCACAGTTCGTTTATTATCAATCAGTCCATCAATCAATTTTCATTTCCTTGCAAGATTACATTGAGATTATGAAATTACAAAAATGAGTTGCAGTGCAAAGAGAGCCACTATCATGCCTAGGCATTATGAGCAGACTTAATTTAATGGCTTACAGACTACTTAATACTAAGAAATTGAACAGATTTAGATTTTGCCACCGAAGTGGCTAGTTTATTGTGCACCCCATATCCATCCTCTGTGGACGGTAGCGCTAGAGCATGTGGATACACAAAAGGCCCAGGAACTAGGCCCCAAAAGGGTTAACAGATGTACATATGGGTTTATATCTACAGTTCACTTATCTGTTACAAGCAAATTTAAGAAATTTGCTTAGTATATCTGGTACCTTATTTTCATTAATAAGATACCTTGACATGTCACAGGTTATTATACTGTCTGTTTCTGTATTCCTCAATAAGTGGACAATTAAGTACACAGTGTTCAAGAGAGTGACCATATGCCTGACCACATAATTTACATTTAGTTTGATCATCATCTGTGTGTCTCCCAAACTGCCAGAAGTACTTGTAACCAAGCATAAGCCTGGCCACTACAACATCAGTCAGTCTGTTCACATTGCAATTTGCTCCATAAACATACTTATCTACGCTCATGTTATCATAGTGGGTTACAGATCTACTCAGGCTTCTAACTGCGTTCCTGTTACAATCATTTTCGTTATTTACTTCTCTCCTAATATTATTCATTATGCTAGACACAGATATACCAAAGTTATATTCTACATTCTACTTCTGGGTACTCTTCTTGGCTAACATATCAACTTTATCATGAAGGAATAATCCAATGTGTGATGGGGATCCATAGCAATTGTACATTAATCTCTTTGTCCCTGATTTTTGAGTATCTATACCTGGTTTCTCCAATGAGCATGTTGTTGGAGTCATTATATGAGTCAAGAGCATTCAGTGAGGACATAGAATCAGTAATGATGATAGAGACAAGCTCAGTGTCATAAGTTAGCTCTAGCGCCATTAGGATTGCAAACAATTGGTGAGAAGTTTTAGTGTTTACCTGGAGAGAGTTCCGGGGGTCAACGCCCCCGCGGCCCGGTCTGTGACCAGGCCTCCTGGTGGATCAGCGCCTGATCAACCAGGCTGTTGCTGCTGGCTGCACGCAAACCAACGTACGAGCCACAGCCCGGCTGATCAGGAACTGACTTTAGGTGCTTGTCCAGTGCCAGCTTGAAGACTGCCAGGGGTCTGTTGGTAATCCCCCTTATGTGTGCTGGGAGGCAGTTGAACAGTCTCGGGCCCCTGACACTTATTGTATGGTCTCTTAACGTGCTAGTGACACCCCTGCTTTTCACTGGGGGGATGGTAAGTAAGTAAGTAAGTAAATTTATTCACGTATACACAAATACAGTTACATAGAATTATCATACATAGCAGCATATGTGTAGAGAACCTAGGATAACCCAAAAAAGTCAGACAGAGTGACTTATTTCCATTGGGGTCCTTTTACCTTATTATTATAATATAAAGGTTATAATATTTTCTTATTATTCTACAATGAAGATAACATCTTATTATCATACTAAAAAGACTATCTACTACACGAGGGTCATTAAGACTATCTACAATACGAGGGTCATTACTAGGGATAAGGTAAAATTTACACGTATTTTAGCTAAAAAATAGAAAATCATTCCCCTCCCTTTCTGTAGCTTCATTCATCAGACACTTTTTGGCAGTCTTCTTGAATTGGTTCATGCTATGACTGGCTTTGGCATGTGCGGGTAGTCTGTTCCATTCCTTTATTGCTGTACAATAAAAGGTGTTTGACGCCTGGCCACTGACTGTGGGTACTACAAAGTTGTGCTCTCTCCCCCTAGTACTATGATTGCTTTGGTTCCCAACCTTGACAAAATTGACAGCAAGATATTCTGGACACTGTTCGTGAGCAATTTTATAAACATGATTTAGCTTCAGTTGTTTTACTCTGTCTTCAACATTCAGCATATCCAACTGCATATCCAACTGGTGCATCGTCTGCCAAGTCTTTTGCTTTCGTAGTGAGTGATTTTCGTGTGCAAGTTCGGTACTAGTCCCTCTAGGATTTTCCAGGTGTATATAATCATGTATCTCTCCTGCGTTCCAGGGAATACAGGTTTAGGAACTTCAAGCGCTCCCAGTAATTGAGGTGTTTTATCTCCGTTATGCGCGCCGTGAAAGTTCTCTGTACATTTTCTAGGTCGGCAATTTCACCTGCCTTGAAAGGTGCTGTTAGTGTGCAGCAATATTCCAGCCTAGATAGAACAAGTGACCTGAAGAGTGTCATCATGGGCTTGGCCTCCCTAGTTTTGAAGGGTCTCATTATCCATCCTGTCATTTTTCTAGCAGATGCGATTGATACAATGTTATGGTCCTTGAAGGTGAGATCCTCCGACATAATCACTCCCAGGTCTTTGACGTTGGTGTTTCGCTCTATTTTGTGGCCAGAATTTGTTTTGTACTCTGATGAAGATTTAATTTCCTCATGTTTACCATATCTGAGTAATTGAAATTTCTCATCGTTGAACTTCATATTGTTTTCTGCAGCCCACTGAAAGATTTGGTTGATGTCCGCTTGGAGCCTTGCAGTGTCTGCAATGGAAGACACTGTCATGCAGATTCGGGTGTCATCTGGAAAGGAAGACGCGGTGCTGTGGCTTACATCCTTGTCTATGTCAGATATGAGGATGAAGAACAAGATGGGAGCGAGTACTGTGCCATGCGGAAAAGATCTTTTCACCGTAGCCGCCTCAGACTTGACTCTGTTGACTACTACTCTTTGTGTTCTATTTGTGAGGAAGTTATAGATCCACCTACCAACATTTCCTGTTATTCCTTTAGCACGCATTTTGTGCGCTATTACTCCATGGTCACACTTGTCGAAGGAAACAAACCATACCACGGGAGCGGATAGAACCCGCAATCAGTCGCGTCGCGTTAGGGACGGTCTGGAGTTTTGAGACTCTCTGATAAGATAAGATTTCGTTCGGACTTTTAACCCCGGAGGGTTAGCGACCCAGGATAACCCAAGAAAGTCAGTGCGCCATCGAGGACTGTCTAACTTATTTCCATTGGGGTCCTCAATCTTGTCCCCCAGGATGCGACCCACACCAAGGTACCTATTTGCTGCTAGGTGAACAGGACAACAGGTGTAAGGAAACGTGTCGAAATGTTTCCACCCGCCGGGAATCGAACCCGGGCCCTCCGTGTGTGAAGCGGGAGCTTTAGCCACCGGTGCAATCGTGTCATTACGATTTCGTGAGACTTGTCTAAGGCTTTTGCAAAGTCTATGTATATTACATCTGCATTCTTTTTGTCTTCTAGTGCATCTAAGACCTTGTCGTAGTGGTCCAGTAGTTGGGACAGACAGGAGCGACCTGCTCTAGACCCACGTTGCCCTGGGTTGTGTAATTGATGGGTATCTAGATGGGTGGCAATCTTGCTTCTTAGGACCCTTTCAAAGATTTTTATGATATGGGATGTTAACGCTATCGGTCTGTAGTTCTTGGATATTGCTTTACTGCCCCATTTGTGGAGTTACCTGGAGTTTACCTGGAGAGAGTTTCGGGGGTTATGTCTGGTGTTTTTAGTAACTGTAAATTACCTAGGATAACCCCCAAATATGTCAGTGATTTATTTCCATTGGGTTATTGTTTCCTAACATTATACAGTTCACGTAATTCAAACATTTTTATGTGGGACTGTTATTTGAATCCATCTTGATTCAATAGATTTATTATGCAACCCATACCAGAATTATTTTTGCATAACATTTGGCATTTCCATGAATGACACAATTAGTGTTAAGTAACCTCCGTGACACTGATGTTCGGTAATCAAAAGATTAGACACAAAGTGGGTCCAGAGACCGGGATCCACTGTATCCTGGGACACGTATCTTACGAGTGTTGGTCGGGATCCACTGTATCCTGGGACACGTATCTTACGAGTGTTGGTCGGGATCCACTGTATCCTGGGACACGTATCTTACGAGTGTTGGTCGGGATCCACTGTATCCTGGGACACGTATCTTACGAGTGTTGGTCGGATCCACTGTATCCTGGGACACGTATCTTACGAGTGTTGGTCGGGATCCACTGTATCCTGGGACACGTATCTTACGAGTGTTGGTCGGGATCCACTGTATCCTGGGACACGTATCTTACGAGTGTTGGTCGGGATCCACTGTATCCTGGGACACGTGTCTTACGAGTGTTGGTCGGGTAGGATAGTAAAGGGCCACGTCAGTTCCCCTGGCTTCTAATAGTATGTTATTTTTCCTCTAAGCTACCTTGTCCATAATTACTATTGCATTTGCCTTGTCTGCTTTCGTAAGGAAAGATCCTGGACTTCAACTTACGACAGCAGACAAAACAAATGCGACAGTAATTATGGACAAGGTAGATTATAGGGAAAGAATAAACATGATATTAGGAGACAGGGATACTCACGCGCCTATTAAGATGTGGTGAAAAGTGTGTCTCCAAACTTCAGTGCTCTATGACCCTTATGGGTTTAGTACTTATGATAAGAATAAGAATCCATACTTCAGTGGTATAGAAAAATAATGATTTTTTTTTATTCGCCGGTATTCTCCCGGCCCGGGTCTTTTCCAAGTAGTGGTGACCCGGCCTTGGTTCCCTATCTGGGGAGTGTCCATGGGAGTCCATGGGAGGAGGTATAAGTACCCCCTCATCTTTGGGACCAACTGTCCCCAGGCCTAGCCACATTCCTCGCCCTCACGGGGCTCGTAGGAAGAAGCTAGGCCTCTGGTCTGCCATCTGCCCCGCCCCAAAGGGGCTCGTGGGGATGGCAGCCATATGAGCTGCAGATGGTAGCAAGCTCAGGCCTTCTCAAAAAAAAAAAAATATTATAATCATAACCATGATTTTTAAAGAGGTGGACCGGTAACCCTGCGGAAGTCCTCGGTCAAATAACCAAAAGCTCCAGCTGTGGCTCATCATTTATTTATTTATTTATTTATTTATTTATAATTTGAGCACACTTACAGAGGTACAAAAAAAAATACAGATAAGAGCAGCATGCCAAAGCCACTTATACTATGCATAGCATTACGGGCTGGCTTAAAATTAACTTAAGATTAACTAAGCAATGATGAAATCAGTGAAAAACATTAATGTAAACTGATTACTATAAAGCACAAGTGAGTATTACAAAGACAGGTCATATGGTTGCATGCATTGTTGTAAATTCAGTAGAATGGAGTATTCTGTTAGGTAGTGAATTTAAAAAATAATAAAGTTAGATTGGGTTTTAGGTTTAACATTTATGTGATATAATTGTGAGAAACATTTAAGATATACAATTTATAAGGTTCAGTTATTCAGTATTTATTTGGTTTTGGGTGAGTAAGTGATCTTTGAGAAGAGACTTGAATTTATAAACAGGTAGTGTTTCTTTTATATTAACAGGTAATGAATTCCGATTTTAGGGCCTTTTATGTGCATTGAGTTTTGCATAGCGTGAGATGGACACGAGGAATATCAAAGAGTGATCTGTGCCTTGTGTTATGGTCATGTGTTCTGTTGAGGTTGGCAAGGAGATGTTGAGGGGAGGGTTAATATCAGAGTTGAGTGTTCTATGTATGTAATAGGTGCAGTAATAAGTATGGATGTTTTGTATGGTGAGTAGGTTGGTGTATTGAATATTGGTGGAGTGTGCTGCCTGTAGTGAGAATTTGTTATCATTCTAACTGCAGCCTTTTGTTGGGTAATTAGTGGTTTCTGAGATGGTTACTTGTTGTTGAGCCCCATGCACAAATTCCATAGGTGAGATAGGGGTAAATAAGAGAGTGATATAGGGCCAGGAGGGCTGACTGTGGAGCATAGTACCGTATCTTCGATAGTATGCCTACAGTCTTGGAAATTTTCTTAGAAATTTGTTGTATATGTGTATGAAATTTGAGTCTATTATCAAGGTGGATCCTAAGAATTTTCCCTCTGTTAGCTTTGTGATAGGTGATCCGTTTATCATTATGTTAAGAGGGACATCTGTAGCTCTGTTACCAAACTGAATGAAGTAGGTTTTGTCAATGTTTAGTGTAAGTTGTTAGTATCATCCAGGTAGATATTTTCTGTAATTCGGTATTTACAGTATTGGCTAGCGTGACTGGGCTCGGGTGGGAGAAGACGTATGTTGTGTCATCAGCAAATAGTGTGGGTTTGAGTAATTGAGAAGCATTTGGTAGGTCATTTATGTATAGGAGAAAGAGAAGAGGGCCAAGGACACTTCCCTGTGGGACACCAACTGTAATTGGTTGTGCAGAAGAGTTTGCCCCATTTGCGTCACATATTGGCTTCTTTTTGCTGAGGTATGACTTGAGGTAGTTGAGGGAGTGCCCTCTTATACCATAGTGTGATAATTTTACGTGGAGCAAGTCATGGTCAACTGTATCAAAAGCTTTACGTAAGTCAATGAAGATCCCCAGTGGACTTCTTTTTTCTCTATTGCAGTGTATATATGTTCTAGCATGTGTAAAATAGCATCATTAGTATTTTTTATTAGGCCTGAATCCAAATTGGCAGGGGTTGAGTATGTTTTGGGAGATAAGGTAGGAGTAGATTCGTTTATGAATTATTTTTTCGAAGATTTTTGAGAGAGGGTGTAATTTTGGATATTGGCCTATAGTTATTCAACTCTGTTTGGTCTCCTCCTTTGTGGATCGGGGTGACCCTTGTTATTTTGAGTACTGTAGGGAAGGTGGAGGATTCAATGGATTTGTTAAAGAGTGTTGCAATGATTGGTGATAGCACTTGTGACACTTTTTTGTATATAAAGGGTGGTAAGGTATTTAAATCTCCTGCCTTGTTTTTTAGTGCGTTGATAATAAGGGAGACTTCGTATGGGTTAGTCGGAGCTAGGAACAGTGTGTTCGGGTAGTTGCCGGTGAGGTAGTCATTTGGTGGGGTATCTGAGCTTGGGATTTTATTGGCAAGGTATCTGAGCTTGGGATTTTATTGGCAAGGTTTTTGACTAAGACCCACCCCAGGAAATACTTGTCCTGATTTCTGGCAAATATTATACCTACCTACCTTCAGTGGTAGGATTCATACGGCTACCGAGCCTCTGTAGCCCTTAACTGAAGATAAGAGATAAGATAAGAACACCAACTAAAAGGAAACTTACTCGCTGGCCTTGATAGTTCGTGCACATCACTGTGTTCTACATATCGATGGCATAATCTCGAAATAATTTTTTTAGGGCGCTTGTTTCTCCTCATTTTTCCGGGTATAGATTATGGGACACCAGATACATTTATTTTTCTGTGACATTTTCTCGAACTTTGTGAGGGAGCCTGTTACCAATCCTAATGTAGCGTGAGTGTGTCACACTTCCCAGGGTTTAGGTAGCCAGTTCACCATTCTTGTTTGAGAAGGCTTGTTTATGGGCTCTGTCAGTAATTCAGTTTCAAGTTTGGGAATTATTTCAGCCCCAGACACTGGAAGACAAGACTCAACACAACTTGCTATATAGAAGCCCTTATTTACAAACAACAACAATCACGTATTTGACATACATTGTCCTGGTGAGTCTACTAATTCTTCTTGGTCATTTAAGCATCATTAATACTCATTTTAATTTATTAACCGACAATGCAGTTTTCTATCTTTCAATTATTGGGGGATCATTACAATTTGAAAATGAAAATGAAAATTCTTGGCTTCATATCAAGAAGTATAAATAATAGAAGGCCAAGGCTTATACGTACTTCTATTTTATATATCTTTGGTTATGCTTCATTTAGACCACGTTGGTCATTTCTGGTCTCCATATTACAGAATGTACATAAATGCACTGAAAAATATGCAGGGAAGTGCACAGGAAAATGTGCAGAGAGGAATGATGTTGGTCCCATATATCAGAAACCTCTCCTGCGAGGAGAAGCCGATGGCATTGAATTTCCTCTCTGGAAGGATGTAGAATTGAGGAGGAGTAAATAAAGAGGACATAAATACATGGTGAAGATATAAAAGAATAGAGTAGCAATACTATGGCTGGAACAGCTCACCAAAAGTCCACACTTAGAAGAGAAACCTTATAACAACATTTTGGTCAGTCCTGGAACATTGTCAAGTTATAGCAATGGTTCAGGATGGACCAAAGTACATGTTTGTGGTGAGATTATGAACATATATAACCAAGACAGGACTTACAGCAATGGCTTTAAGTTGGACAAATTTAGATTATAAAGGATATAGAGAAGTACTGGTTTGGCAATATAGTTGTAGATGAGTGGAACAAACTCTTAGTAAATTTAACCCTTGACTTGATAGGGAGAAAATGCAGCTCATACAAATAAAAACTGGTGGGAACCCCAGTTGGGAGTGAAAATACTAGTCCTGCTGCATGATTCAGTGCAGTGGGGGTAAGGAAATAGTTTAGATTATTAGCATATAATTATCATTGGATGTTCTGTGGAAGTGATCTTAGGGATGGGACTTATCCTCCCCTTCCCTGCATCAAATCTGAATGCTTCCCATTTCCCAAGCACTATATAACCCCTGTGGGTTAAGTACTTTTCCCTGAGTAAGATAGATAAAAGTGATAGAAGTCAGAGATGCTTAAATATCTGCTTAATAACATTTCAGGAATGATGTCAGCAGAACCAGATTATGGAGCTGCTCTTGGGCTCATCAAACACCTTCCTACAGAGGAACTTCGTGATCTTGTGAACAATGATGATAAGCTCACTGAGCTTATGAAGGACCTACCACAGGTTTGTTCCAGTATATTGTTTGAGACCAATCTGATGTACAGTATTTTACAATGTTAGATGCCTTATATAATGATGAATTTAGGAGGGTATGTAAAGGAAGGAAATTAGAAGTGAATATAGGAAAGAGCAAGGCGATGATGGTAACAATTGAATTAGGTAAAATATTGGATATAAGATTGGAGAGATGGAGTATGAAGGAAGTGAATGTGTTCAGATATTTGGGAGTGGACTTATCAGCAGACGAAGTGAACCATAGATTTAATGAAGGGAAAAAATGGGCAGTGTATTAAAGCATTTGTGGAGACAAAGAACATTATCCATGTTAGCAAACGGGGGAATATATGAGAGTATAGTGGTACCAATATTCTTATATTGACCATACCCCCGGCCGGGATTGAACCCGCGGTCATAGAGTCTCAAAACTCCAGCCCGTGAATCTTGCAGCAAAGTGGTATACCTGGAGTATACCTGGAGGGTATTTCAGGGATATAACTGAATTATACCTGGAGAAGGTTTCAGGGATGAACTCCCCTGTGGCCCGGTCCATGAGCAAGCCTCGTGGTGGATCAGGGCCTGATAAACCAAACTGTTACTGCTGGCTGCATGCAAACCAATGTACAAACCACAGTCCGGTTGGTCGGGAACTGACCAACCAGACTGTGCTTGTCCAGCTCCTTGAAGACAGCTAGGGGTCTATTGGTAATCCCCTTATGGATGCTGGGAGGCAGTTGAACATTCTTGGGCCTCCTGACACTATGTCATCTTTAGCATACTCTTGGTGTGCTTGCTTTTCATTGGGGGGATGTTGCACCACTTGCCGAGTCTTTTGCTTACATAGGGAGTGATTTCTGTGCAGATTTGGAATTAGTCCCTCTTAAGATTTTCTAAGTGTATATTATCATGTATCTTTCTCAGATGCATTCCAAGGGACTTGAACCATTCCCAGTAATTTAAGCATTCTATTGTTCGGTGAAAGTTCTTTGTTTATTCTCCAGGTCTGCATTTTCACCTGCCTAGAAAGGGGCCGTTAGTGTACAGCAATATACCAGCCTAGAGAGAACAAGCAATTTGAAGAGAATCATCATTGGCATGGCATCCCTAGTTTTGCAGGTTCTCATTATTCATCCTATCATTTTCCTAGCAGATGTGGTAGAGACATTGTTGTAATCTTTGAAAGTGAGATTCTATGACATTATCACTCCTAGGTCCTTAACATTAGTTTTTTGCTGTACTTTGTGGTTGGAATTTATTTTATACTCCGATCTGTTTTGCACAATTGTTGGATATCCAATTGGTTGGTGATCTTGCTTCTTGGAACCCTTTCAAAGATTTTTATGATGTGGGACATTAGTGCTCTTGGTCTGGAGGCAGTGGGATGTGTCCAAGGGCAATGTGTAATGTAAATATTATGCAGAGAATTTATAGCTTGCAAATTAGGTGGTGTGGAGTTCCTGTAAGTATTATCCAGAGGGCTGAGGAGGGGTTGTTGATGTAGTTTGGACATTTAAAGAGGATGAAGCAAAATAATGTGACTTGGAGGGTGTATAAATCTGTAGTAGAGGGAAGGTGGAGTAGGGGTCTGCCTTCAGAAAGGTTGGAGGGAGGGGAGTAAAGGAGGTTTTCTGTGCAGGGGGCTTGGATGTCCAGCAGGCATGTGTGAGCATGTTAGATAAGAATGAGTGGAGACAAATGACGAGTTGTTGGAGTGTGAGCAAGGTAACATTTTGTGAAAGGATTCAAGGAAACCAGTTAGCAGGACTTGACTCCTTGAGGTGGAAAGTGTAGTGCCTGCACTCTGAAGGAAGGGTGAAGATATTTGTAGTTTGGGGGAGGCATCTGAACTGTTGTATTGGCATGCCTCTGGCAAGACAGTGATGGAGTGAATGATGGTGAAAATGTTTCTTTTTAGGGTTACCATACCTCAGTGGGAGATGACCATTGTGTTAGAAAGAAAAACTATGTTTTTCTGTAAATGAACAAGAAGAATGTAAGAATGAATATCATTGCAGTTAAGATCACTCCATTTAAGATCACAGTGCCAAAGGTAATGATTTTTCATATTATAATTTTTGAAATTCACAGTGGGTATAGCACACTGTTTTGCCATTTTTATGTAATGTTACTTTATTTACAAATCTTCAGAAAGTCTTTGTTGATTTAAACTTTAAAAACTTGTGTAGGTTTATAAAAACTGTTGAAGTTTGACAGTCTGACTATATTATATTGGATGAAGGACTTTCTGTTTGAAAGGAAAGTGCAAGCAACAAGAGGAAAAATGTTCTCATGAGAAAATGTTGATTAAACAACAGATGGATGATAATGCAGTAATTCATGTATACTAGTGCCATGTATAACAATAGAAATGGAAGAAAGCTACATAAAGAATATAGATTGTGTGATAAAATATTGAAAGCCTAAGACAGAAGAATCTATGAATAATTATAGACAATACCACTGGAATACCTTCTTGATATATGTATGGCAAATTTATATAAAAGATTTTCACAACATACCAGTTACAGTGCTCCTCACGGCATTATGCCGGGTGAGCGCTCACATGCCTTCCGTGGTGAGAGGAAGTGTTTCACTTTTGTCTCTCATCCACCCCATCTTTTGTCTGGTCTCTCCCTTGGTTTTGGGGCTATACATGTTTGACTATGGGTAAAAGGAAGTCTTTAACACCTGAAACAATAGATCAAATCATAGGGCTTCACAAAGCTGGGCACCAGATGAAAGAAATGTTGATGTGTGTGAGCGTTCAGTGAGGAACTGGGTGGAGCGTTTCAAGGCTGATGGTGGTGCCAAGATACCATTTGCCAAATCTTGGCCTGGCCCCTCAAAGAAGACATCTGTTCATACCTTAACTGTGTTAAAGAAGCAGTTAGAGAGTACACCTAAGATAACTGCTAGAGAATTGAAAGAAAAGAACCCAAATCTTCTATCAGAGGTGTCTGTAAGAACTGTTAGCAGATGTGTGTCAGAATTTGGCTACAGTAGTCACTGCCAGGTTAAGAAACTAATCTTCTCCAAGCCACAGAAGAAAGGTAGGCTGGATTATGCAAAGAAATATCTTCACTGGAATCCTCAACAATGGTCAGAAGTACTTTGGAGTGATGAAGCAACCTTCACTGTCACCTGTAACCATGGTGAACATGTGTACCGGCCCAGAAATAGTGACCCACTAGACCCATGCTACGCCTGTAGGACCAACAAACACCCACACTCGCTCATGGTTTGGGGGTGTTTCAGTACTCAGAGTGTTGGTACACTCATTGTGCTTCCCAAAAAAACAGTATATGAACCAGTATAATTACCTGGAGTTATTGTGTGGCAATTTACCTGAGACGTTTGACAAGTGTGGGGCTATGGTTTTTATGCAGTATGGTTCACCATGTCATACCACCAAATCTGTAGTTCAGTGGCAAAAGGACTGTGAAGTGAGGTTCTTTAATGACTGGCCAGGCAATTTCCCAGACCTAAACCCTATTGAGAACCTCTGGTCAATAGTGAGACGAAGTTTACTGGGCAAGGATATCAGTTCCATCCTGTGGCTGGAGGCTGCTCTACATGAGGCATCGAATAATATATCTCCCCAAACCCTCAAGAATTTGTGCGAGAGCCTTCCTACATGGCTGATGGATGTGATTAAACATTGCACCAAGTATTGAAACCTCAGTAAGTGTGCAGATATATATACAGTGGACCCCCGCATAACGATCACCTCCGAATGCGACCAATTATGTAAGTGTATTTATGTAAGTGCGTTTGTACGTGTATGTTTGGGGGTCTGAAATGGACTAATCTACTTCACAATATTCCTTATGGGAACAAATTCGGTCAGTACTGGCACCTGAACATATACTTCTGGATTGAAAAAATATCGTTAACCGGGGGTCCACTGTATATTATAATCTTTAATGGTATGTGTTTGTGTTTTGGTACGTGTGTGGGGAAGGGGCAGCATAATGCCGTAATGAGCACTGTAGGTAAGCCAAAATTGGTATAGTAATTTCTGTGTAATGTATAATTTACTTGTGGTTATTTAACTTTTGTCATGGCTATATGTACCAATATTTTGTCTTATTTTACAGTAACTGTATTGAAAAGTACATCACATTATCTTCTTGAAGAGTGATATTAACATACTGTACAAGTGTTCTTTCATATTAGCGGTATTTATTAACTATTATTTTAACGTTACAGGTAAGTAATTTTGCATTTTAGATAAAACTTGTAATGAAGAAGCCTATTTAAAAATTAACTATGTATATTATCCTTCAACAGATGAAGAACTTAGCAAGTGAACAAGAAATGTTACTAGCAGCAAACAAATCCTTGGCAGAATTCAATTTGTCCCTTGAACCTAAATTGTCACAGGTAACCGATAATTTATCACTGAACTGTGTAATAGTTAGCCTATTGTAATAAGTTTCTTGGTCGTGTAATTAATTTTCTTAGCCTAGTAGTCCTCTCGTGAAAGAACTAACTGGACTGAAAGTTTTGTTTTGTCTGGATTCAGAGTTGGTACATATATTTTGGGGCACATGATCTGCTTGGGATTCTGAAAAATATGGAAATTTGGTACCCCAAATTTCAATAATATTAATGAAAATCAAGTGCCCGTTAATTGATTATTTTTAGCAGATAAATTGAATTTTTGTTGTTGGGTAAAGGGTTTAATGGTCTTGTTCAAAGTTGGGTTTAAGTCCTTTAAAGGTTGTCCACATAGTATTTTTGGGTCCCAAAAAAATTTCATATGAAAACCACAATGCAAGAGAGGAAAAGAGAAACACTGTTTAAGGAGTTGGGGACCCCAGATAATAAAATTCAGATCAGAAGTATGAGGATTGAGAGATACCCACAGAAATTGGATTTGGTGGATTTCACAGACTTGCCCTCAGGAGGTTCCTTGACGTTGGGGAGGGGCTCTGAAACTAGGGAATTGAATCGTCTCAGTTCCTGAAGTGAGCCTGAATACTTCCATCTCCCTTCCCCGCTGGCGCATAATCTTATGGGGTTTTGTGCTCCCCATGTATTTTAATAAAAAATTTCACAGCGAATTCCACAAGGAGGTGAAGAGAAGGAAAAGGCAATGCACACCTTTTTTTTAAGGCCAGTGGGATGCCACAAAATTTTAACTTAAACCCCCCCAGAAAAGTTTTTTCCAAAAAAAAATTTTTTTTTTTTAAAATTTTTTCCCAATTTCCCCAAAAATTTTAATAAAAAATTTCTTATCTCCTTCCATTTCCCGCATCTTGGAAACCCCCCTGAAAAAATTTTAAACCAAAAACCCAAAAAAATTTCCTTTCCCCCGGGAAATAAAACCTTTTGTTTTCCCCCCACTGAAACTCTCCTACCCCCTTCAGCTTTGTTTCGCTTAGGGCCAGGACATCCAACTTCTTTTCATTCATAACATCAGCAATCATCTGTTTCTTGTCATCCGCACTACATCCACGCACATTTAAGCAACCCAGTTTTATAAAGTTTTCTTCTTCTCTTTTTTAGTAATTGTATACAGGAGAAGGGGTTACTAGCCCATTGCTCCCGGCATTTTAGTCGCCTCATACGACACGCATGGCTTACGGAGGAAAGATTCTTTTCCACTTCCCCATGGACAATAGAAGAAATAAAAAAGAACAAGAGCTATTTAGAAAAAGGAGAAAAACCTAGATGTATGTATATATATATATGCATGTGCGTGTCTGTGAAGTGTGACCAAAGTGTAAGTAGGAGTAGCAAGATATCCCTGTTATCTTAGCGTGTTTATGAGACAGAAAAAGAAACCAGCAATCCTACCATCATGCAAAACAGTTACAGGTTTTTGTTTCATAGTCATCTGGCAGGACGGTAGTACTTCCCTGGGTGGTTGCTGTCTACCAACCTACTACCTATGATTATAATAATAATAATAATTCACAGACAGGAAGTGCTGGCAACAAGTTGAAGGTGATAGAGATAGGTCACTAGCCAAAAGTGGCCAATGCACAACTGCTTTTGTGTTACTTTTAGAGCCCAGTCAGTGGCATGCCACAGGAACATACCTTTAACCCTTTCAGGGTCGACAGGGCCTCTCAGAAACTTGTTCTCAGGGTCGCCAAAATTAAAAAAAAAATTATTTTTTCTTATGAAAAGATAGAGAATCTTTTCCCAATCATAATGGCACCAAAAGTATGAAATTTGATGGAAAACTTGCGGAATTATGCTCTCGCGAAGTTAGCGGTCTCGACGATGTTTACGCATCGGCAAGTTTGCCCACTTTGAGCCCTATTTTCGGACAATTCCACTGTACTAGTCGACAAAAATCATGAATATTTTGCTAGAACTCCATTTTTTCTATCGAATGAGTGCAAGAAACCACTTACCGATTTTAACTATCCAATACAGTGGTCAGAATTTAGCAATTTTGCCAATTTCACACAAATTTCGAAAGATGCAATTTCCAAATAGGGTCCAGAATAAACAAGAAAGACATTCCTGGCACTAAAATGACATTTCCTCTGTTCATTAGCCATGTCCCAATGCCCCTCTTACATTCTTTTGCTTTCCACTTTGAATTTTTATTCTCACAAAAATAGAAGATTTACTGTTATGCTGACTACTGCATTAGTGTAAAAAATGGTATAAATAATATTGGCGCACTTGTGAAAGAATATTAGACTCACCAGTTGACGTATATTGGACGCTTTGCATGATTTGTTTACTTTTGAACTTTGGTAAAAATCGAACATTTCTGCTACTTTGAGCTCAATTTCAAGGTATTTTTCATTGTAAAATCAGTCAAAATCATCTCAATTTCTGTAATATGTCTTCCATTCTATAGAATGAGACCAGGAAAACTAGAATACAACAATAAATACCATACGAAAATACAGTGCAAAGTCGCTGTTTTAATCCAAAAACACCGTCAGTTATTTTTTCTCATTACGCACTGTGCTGCAGGATTTTTTTTATACTATGCACACTGACCACATAGACCCATTCTTTCATATGTAGGCTTACCAGCTTTCTCTCACTAGATTTGAGGGCGCTAGAATTTAGGCATACTAGTACGTCAAAAACCCTAGTGCGTAAGCCGTACTAGTATGGCTGAAACCCTGAAAGGGTTAAAGGACCAACTGAGCTAAGTGCTGAGGACCAGTGAGGATTCCAGATCTGCTTGCCAGAGGTAGCATAGCTGAAAACAGGAGAAATAATGCAGTTGGTGACACTGTTAACCCTTTGACTGTTTTCGACGTATAAATACGTCTTACGAGCCAATGTTTCTGACGTATATATACTCAATAATTCTAGCGGCTTCAAATCAAGTGGGAGAAAGCTGGTAGGCCCACATGTGAGAGAATGGGTCTGTGTGGTCAGTGTGCACCACATAAAAAAAATCCTGCAGCACACATTGCGTAATGAGAAAAAAAAAACTCTGATCGTTTTTTTGGAATAAAACGCCGACTTTGAGGTGTATTTTCGTATAGTATTTATCGTTGTATTCGCGTTTTCATGGTCTTAGGTGATAAAATGGAGAACATATTACAGAAATAGAGATGATTTTCATTACTTTTACGATGAAAACGACCTTGAAACTGAGCTCAAAGTAGCGGAAATGTTCGATTTTTACCAATGTTCAAGAGTAAATAAATCACACCACACGTCCAATACACGTCAACTGGGGAGTCTAATATTCTTTCACTAGTGCACTGATATTATTTATACCATTTTTACAATAATGCAGTCGTCTGCATAACAGTAAATTTTGTATTTTTTTGTATGAATAAAAAATCAAAATAGAAAGCAATAATAATATAAGAGGGGCCTAGAGATGTGACTAATGAACAGAGCATATGTTATTTTAGTGCCACGAATGTCTACCTTGTTTATTCTGGACCCTATTTTGAAATTGGCATCTTTTTTATTTTGCGTGAAATTGGCCAAATTGCCAATTTCTGACCACCATATTGGGTAGTCCAAATTAGTAAATGGGAGGTTTCTTGTACTCAGCTGATAGATAAAATGGAGTTCTAAAGAAATAGCTATGAGTTTGGTCAACTGGAACAATGGAATTGGCTGAAAATAGGGCTCAAAGTCGGCGAAATCGCCGATACGCATATGTCGCCGAGACCGCTAACTTCGCGAAAGCATAATTCCACGAGTTTTCGACCAAATTTCGAACTTTTGGTGTCATTACCATCGGGAAAAGATTCTCTATCATTTCATAAGAAAAAATAATTTTTTTTTTTTAAAAAATTGAGCGACATAGAATGACAGTTTCAGAGAGGGGCCTGAAACAGTCAAAGGGTTAAGATCACTTCTTGTGTTCTCTTGCCTAGAGTACTGTTTGGTGTTGATGGCTTTGTTCAGCACTGGAAGAGAGTGAGGGAGAAAGAGAGAATGATGAAAAAATACCTCATTAGTTCTTCCATCAAGATGAAGGGAAATGTGTTCATAAATGGATGTCTAACAAAAAAAGAAACAATCTACTGTATAGGCTAAAAAACTCAGGCATGAGCATAAGGACAGCATTTATCACTGCTTCATTCAAGATGTCAAAATCATTGTTAAAAATCAGCCACAGGTCATACGTTTGAAATACAAATTAGCAGAATTCCTTAGATATGCAGGCTTGACTGAGACTTTATAGTCCACAGCTCATACCTATTAACCCTTTGACTGTTGCAGGCCCCTTTCTGAAACTGTCATTCTATGTCGATAAATTTTTGGAAAAAAAAAAAAAAATTTTTTTCTTATGAAATGATAGAGAATCTTTTCCCGATGGTAATGACACCAAAAGTACGAAATTTGATCGAAAACTCACAGAATTACGCTCCCGCGAAGTTAGCGGTCTTGGCTACATATACGTATCGGCGATTTCGCCGATTTTGAGCCCTGTTTTTGGCCAATTCCGTTGTTCCGGTTGACCAAACTCATAGCTATTTCTTTAGAACTCCATTTTTTCTATCAGTTGAGTACAAGAAACCGCCCCTTTACCGATTTGAACTACCCAATAAAGTGGTCAGAAATTGGCAATTTGGCCAATTTCACGAATTAAAAAAGATGCCAATTTTAAAATAGGGTCCAGAATAAACAATGTAGACATTCTTGGCATTAAAATAACATATCTTCTGTTCATTAGTCACGTCTCTAGGACCCTCTTATATTACTATTGCTTTCTATTTTGATTTTTTATTCATACAAAAAAATACAAAATTTACTGTTATGCAGACTACTGCATTATTGTAAAAATGGTATAAATAATATCAGTGCACTAGTGAAAGAATATTAGACTCCCCAGTTGAAGTGTATTGGACGTGTGGTGTGATTTGCTTACTCCTAAACATTGGTAAAAATCGAACATTTCTGCTACATTCAGCTCAATTTCAAGGTCGTTTTCACCATGAAAGTAATTAAAATCATCTCTATTTCTGTAACATGTTTTCCATTTTATCACGTGAGACCATGAAAACGAGAATATAACTATAAATACTGTACGAAAATACACCTCAAAGTCGGCGTTTTAATCCAAAAAAAATGATCTTTTTTTTTTTCTCATTACAGTGGACCCCCGCATAACGATGGCATCACATAGCGATTTTTCCGCATACCGCTTACTTTTATCGCAAAATTTTTGCCGCGCATACCGATTAAAAACCCGCTCACCGATTTTCGTCCGAGACGCGTCCAATGTGCCCTCAGCCAGCCTCACATGTGCCGCCCGTCCCATTGTTTACCAGCCAGCCTCCGCGGTAACATCCAAGCATACACTCGGAATATTTCGTATTATTACAGTGTTTTCGGTGCTGTTTCTGGAAAATAAGTGACCATGGGCCCCAAGAAAGCTTCTAGTGCCAACCCTGTGGTAAAAAGGGTGAGAATTAGTATGGAAATTAAGAAAGATTTTGAAGGGTTTGGGGCTAACCCTGAGAAGCCTATGCCAGTTGTGGAATCCATTGTGCCTACTTCAAAGATTAAGGAAATGTGTGCACAGTGGGTTGAACTGCAAACCTTTATGGATGAAAATCACCCTGACACAGCTGTTGCAAGCCGTGCTGGTGACTATTTCAATGACAATGTTGTGGCCCATTTTAGACAAATCGTAAAGGAACGGGAGGTACAGAGCTCTATGGACAGATTTGTTGTGCGACAGAGGTCCAGTGACTCTCAAGCTGGTCCTAGTGGCATTAAAAGAAGAAGGGAAGTAACCCCGGAAAAGGACTTGCTACCTCAAGTCGTAATGGAAGGGGATTCCCCTTCTAAACAGTAAGAAGATAATGCTCTCCCCTCCTCCCATCCCATCAATCATCACCAGATCTTCAATAAAAGTAAGTGTCATGTAAGTGTGCATGCCTTTTCAGTTTGTGTGTATTAAAATTAATATTTCATGTGGTAAAAAATTTTTTTTTTCATACTTTTGGGTGTCTTGCACGGATTAATTTTATTTCCATTATTTCTTATGGGGAAAATTCATTCACATAACGATTATTTCGCATAACAATTACCCCTCTTGCACGGATTAAAATCGTTAACCGGGGGTCCACTGTATATGCTGCGTGCTGCAGGATTTTTTTTATGTGGTGCGTACTGCCCACACAGACCCATTCTCTCACGTGTGGGCCTACCAGCTTTCTCCCGCTTGATTTGAAGCCGCTAGAATTTACGCGTATAAATACGTCAGAAACAGTGGCGCGTAAGATGTATATATATGACTGAAACAGTCAAAGGGTTAATGTCCACACAGAGTACAATGTACTCGCTACCTCATTGCAGTGCCATTAATTTGTGCAGTTAATAGTGCCATTCCTACACTTTTTTTATTGATAAATTCCTTTGCTTGTACATTTTGTTATAGATAAATTCTTTTGTTTTTTATATTCCATATACGTACTATCTCATTGTGTAATTTTACCTTGCATTGTTTATTTTTTGCATAACTGATTTTTATTTTGCCTTATTTTGTGTTATAAGTTACTTTATCATAGACTTGTAATCTGTACATTGTCCTTATTTTCATACCTGATTTTGTTTTTTAATAGTAGTCATACTAGCTAATTACGTTATTCCTTTCTCACTCCACTGTTCATATCTCACATGCTGGTGTGGGATTCATCTGTAAAAACCTGCATTTGTAGTCACAGTGGCGGCCCATGCTAACTTCCTTATGGTGTATAGAAATACCTAGTAGGATGAATCTTATTAGAGCCAGCTGGCCCAGCAGTTAATGCACTGGCCTGTGAGTTTTAGGACTCACTTGCCATGGGTTTAAACCCCCACCCGTTCTGTGATTTCTTTGCAGTCGTGTTATTACAGTTTTGTGAGTATTGTGAAAAAAAAATTATTGTCTTATACATATATGTAAAAGACTGTAGTCCTTATAGACATAAGCTGAGTTGAAGCTTGCCTGAAATGCTCTTCATAACTGGGGCTTTCCATGTGAGAGATGTAATGTCATCAAATTTTGTACAAATGATGTAGCATGTGGAAATAGATTGATTGATAACAGCCCTGAATGAGGCCAAATGGAGTTCCAGGAGTTGGAAGCTAGAGGAAAAAAAGGAAGGCAAAATTATGGGGAGTACATTAGCCCCTTACCAGATAAGTATCAAGAAAATGAGAAATAGACCTTAGCATATGAGAGGAAACTAGGTTTAGGTATTAGAACATTACATTGCATTGAATATCTTTGGACCAATATAGTTCTCTGGTGGCAGGTTTGATAACATTACATTTCTGCGGGAAATGCATTGTATGTTGCTTATATACTTTGCATCTACCCAGCTTCATATTTAAAAATAATTTAAGTCTTGTAGATGGGTTGTGGGGTAACATTATTAAAGTTTCATGTTATTTCAAATATAGAACAGAATGAGGATCATCTTCTTAACCCTTAAACTGGCCAAACGTAGATCTACGTTCACGTGCATAGCACTCCGAACATAGATCTACTTTTTTTTTACATGCTTTCAAATAGAGAAAATATAGGTCGGAGCACTATGCACGTGAACATAGATCTACTTTTGGACAGTTTGAGGGTTAATCAACCTTATCCAGTCACCTGAAAAAATAACTATTATATAGTTTATGTATCAAAAGGTGTCAAGTTTACTGAGTGTATATAGATAACTGTACAATTATTTTAATTTCAGGCTAAGCAGAACCTAATTTCAAAATATGAAGAAGCAGCTCAGTTGTCTGAAGAAGTTAATGCCTTGAAAGGAGAAATTGGTAAGTGTTTTGTATAATTTTTATTAATTTTCCTGAATACACTACTCCTTGGACTGGACAAAGAAAACTGCTCTAAAAAGTAATTATGTACCTGGTTGTAATGCTAATATAGAGATGTGTGCAATAACAATTTGGTATGCAGGATCCTTTGTCATGTTGCATTTTAAGTGCTTTAGTAGGAACAAATGTGACTTGGAAAAATTATACAATAGGGTCTCTTTCTCTTATCTAAAAATAATTGAAACCCAGGTTATTTCAGATTATGGAATTTTTTAGATTATAAGTGCCATCCAGATATAAAATGAAAATTTTGGTCAAGTATTATTGCATAATTACAACTCTGTATGCAAAAAATGGCTAGCACATTGTCTGGTTAACAGTGGCTTGCAAACAAGGACCAGAGCAAGTTGAAAGCACATGGGACTTTAAGGTTTAGGTATTTGGAAGTCAAAGCATTCTTTGGTTTGGTATGATAGCCATCCAGTGTATTGTTTCGTGATAAAGTCTCCAATAAGAACCAGTGATTCAAGTGTTTTCTAGCTAGAGGTAGTTCTTAAACTTCAAATGATGATGCTGAGTCTGCACTGGAGCATATCCATTGATTGAAGTAGGTTTGCCAGTACTTCCGGCCCGGGTCTTCTCCAGGTGGCGACCCGGCGTGCATATCCATTGATAGTACAGTTTGGCTATCACTAATCTGGCATCATCAGGACCTGTAGGTTGCTGCATTAGTGATTTTGCTGGATTACAGAGTGGTTAGGTTAGAATACACTTAACCCAACGGCGATATTTATGCATCAGTGATTTCGTCCACTTTACGCACTATTTTTGGCCCATTCCATTGTTCCACTCTACCAAACTCATAGCTATTTCACTGGTATTCCTTCTATTCTGTCGATTGAGTACAAGAAATTGCCAATAAAGTGGTCAGAAATCAGTAATTTGGCTAATTTCACACAAATTTCAAGAGATGCTAATTTCAAAATAGGGTCCAGAATAAACAGTGCAGATGTTTCTGGCACTAAAATAACACGTTCTCTGTTTATTAGTCACGTCTCCAGGCCCCTCTTATATTATGCTTGCTTTCCATTTTGAATTTTTATTCAAACAAAAAATAGAAGATTTACTGTTATGCAGACTACTGCATTATTTTAATACTGTAATTGTATAAATAATATCAATCCATTCGTGACTGTGTATTAGACTGGCCAGTTGGACACGTATTGGACGGTAACGTGGACACGTATTGGACAGTGACGTCATTTGTTTACTCATGAACATTGGCAAAAATCAAACATTTCTGCTACTTTGAGCTCAATTTCAAGGTACTTTCCATCGTGATATCAATCAGAATCGTATCTATTTCTGTAATACAGTGGTACCCCAAGTTTCGACCATAATTCCTTCCAGAAGGCTGTTCGAGTGCCGTTACCGAACGAATTTGTTCTCATGAGGAATAATGTAAATTAGATTAGTTCATTTCAGACCCCAAAAATACACTTACAAAAGCACTTACATAATTGTTCGAGTTGGGAGCTGTATGAAACTCGGGGTACCACTGTATGTCTTCCATTCTATCAAATGAGACCAAAAAAAAAAAAACAAGAATACATAAAACCATAAAAACCATATGAAAATACACCACAAAGTTGCTGTTTTACACCAAAAACGTGTTTTTTTTTCATTATGCACTGCGTGCTGCAGATTTTTTTTATATAGTGCACACTTACCACAGACCTGTTCTCTCATGTGTAGGCCCAAATTTACTGGTCACAGCTTATCTGAGTGAGCTGAGCTCGTGGTGACCAACAGTGGCTTGAAAGCCACATTAACTTTTGTGGGCAATATACGGTGTATGTGCTTTACACAACGAGAAGCATTTCTTTTATTTATTGTAACCATGGCTAGGGCTAAAAGTGAGCAGGTTATAAAAATAAATGGAGAAAAAGAAATTGGAATGACTAATGCAGCAAGTAGCGCCATCAAACAGTAGCAGCAGGTTGGTGTGGCAACCCTGGAAATTTGAAATTATGTTAGCTAAAATTAGTGCCGGATTACTGATGGAACTGGATTACTGATTGGATTAGTGATGGCCATCCTGTATTATACTAACTAAAATTCACAGGAGATATGTACCTAAAGGTTCCAGCGAATCTTGAAAATGCATGTAAAGAATCGCTGAATTCTGTTTAATTTTTTGTTTTGGGATTATTTTTATACTGTACAGTGGACCCCCGGTTAACGATATTTTTTCAATCCAGAAGTATGTTCAGGTGCCAATACTGACCGAATTTGTTCCCATAAGGAATATTGTGAAGTAGATTAGTCTATTTCAGACCCCCAAACATACACGTACAAACGCACTTACATAAATACACTTACATAATTGGTCGCATTCGGAGGTGATCGTTATGCGGGGGTCCACTGTATTTGGTTCAGTATGAGTAATAATTTTTTAATAAACAATAAATTAATAGGTGCATAATTTGCCTTTCATAGTTAATTCAGATCACAACCTAATTGAAGTTCAGACTTGTATGCACAGGGATCCTGACCAGCAAAATGGTCAGGACCCCTGACCATTTTGCTGGTCACCTTTGAGGGCACCTTAACCCTTTGACTGTCACAACCCCCAATCCCGAGGTGTCTCCTGGTGTCGCAAAATTTAAAAAAAAAAAAAAAAATTTCTCGATTGTAATGGCACCAAAAAAACGAAATTTGATGGAAAGCTGACGGAATTACGCTCTTGCGAAGTTAGCGACCTCGGCGATTTAGCCCTATTTTCGGCTAATTCCATTGTTCCAGTCGACCAAACTCATAGCTATTTCTTTAGAACTCTGTTTTTTCTATCAATTGAGTACAAGAAACTACCCATTTACCGATTTCAACTACCCAATAATGTGGTCAGAGATTTGCAATTTGGCCAATTTCACGAAAATTAAAAAATATGACAGTTTCAAAATAAGGTCCAGAATGAACAATGCAGACATTCCTGGCTCTAAAATAACATTTTCTTTGTTCATCAGTCATGTCTCCAGGCCCCTCTGATATTACTCTTGCTTTCTATTTTGAATTTTTATTCAAACAAAAAACAGAAGATTTACTGTGATGCAAACTACTGCAATACTGTAATAATTGTATAAATATCATCAACCCATTCATGACTGCATATTAGAATGGCTAGTTGGACATTTATTGGACAATGACATCATTTGTTTACTTTTGAACATCAGCAAAAATCAAACATTTTCCATACTTTGAGCTCTATTTTCAGGTTCTTTTTCTAGTAAAACCAATCAAAATCAGCTCTTTTTCTATAATGTGTTTTCCATTCTATCAAATGAGACCAAGAAACCGAGAATACAACCATAAATACTATACGAAAATACACCACAAAGTTGGCATTTTAATAAAAAAAAAACGGTCGGAGTTTTTTTTTTCTCATTATGCACTGCGTGCTCCAGGATTTTTTTTATATGGTGCACACTGACCACACAGACCCATTCTCTCACATGTGGGCCTACTAGCTTTTTTCTGCTTGATTTGACGCCGCTAGAATTTATGAGTATATATATACGTCAAACACGGTACCTCGTAAAATGTATATATACGACCAAAACAGTCAAAGGGTTAACTAAGTTCAACTTTAACAAGAACATCAACTGGGATCAAATAAATCATGTCCTTAATGAAACATGCTGGGAAGATATCGTAAAGAGCATGGATCTGAACCAGTGTCTTCAAAAGATCAACTCTTTATCAGCTGAAGTATGCTCAAGTATACTGAAGTATGTCAGAGAATCTCACTTTCAAAGATCACAACAGTGTCTCTACCACATCTGCTATGAAAATGATGGGATGGATAATGAGGCCTTTCAAACCTGGGGATGCCAAACCAGTGATGAAGATTCTCTTCAAATCCCTTGTTCTTTCTAGGCTGGAGTATTGCTGTGTACTAATGGCCCCTTTCAAGGCAGGCAAAACTGCAGACCTGGAGAATATACAGAGAACTTTCACTGCACAAATAATGCACCTAAATTACTGGGAACAGTTGAAGTCCCTTGACATGTACTTCTTGGAACGCAGGTGAGAAAGATACATGATAATATACACTTGGAAAATCTTCAGAGAGACTGGTCCCAAATCTGCACACAGAAATCACTCCCTACAATAGCAAAAGACTAGGCAGGTGGTGCAACATCCCCCCCAATGAAAAGCTTGAGTATGCTAAGAGACAACACAATAAGTGTCAGGGGCCCAAGACTTCAACTGCCTTCCAGCATACATCAGGGAGGATTACCAATAGACCCCTGGCTGTCTTCAAGAGGGAGCTGGACTGGCACCTAAAGTCAGTTCCTGACCAACTGGGCTGTGGTTTGTACATTGGTTTGTGTGTGGCCAGCAGTAACAGCCTGGTTGATCAGGCCCTGATCCACCACAAAGCCTGGTCATGGATCTTGCTGTGGGGGCATTGACCCCCAGAACACCCTTCAGGTATACTCCAGGTAAGGTATATGAGAACTTTCAAGACAAGGGATACCATACCAGTGATGATCCTTTTTAAGTCACTTGTTCATTCTAGGTTGGAATACTGTTGTAAACTAACAGCCTCATTCAAAGCAGGTGAAGTAGCAGATCTAGAGAATGTACAGAGAACCTTCACTGAATGTCTTAGTTTTGTCAAGCACCCTAATTACTGGGAATGTTTGAATTACCTTGACCTGTACTTCTTGAAATGCAGGTGAGAAAGATACATCATAATCTACACCTGGAAAATCCTAGAGGGACTGGTTCTAAATCTGCACACACAAGTCATTCCCTACAAAAGCAAGAGACTAGACAGTGCAACATACCTCCAGTGAAATAAAGGGTGCCATGAGTACACCAAGAGAAAACACAGTAAGTGTCTGAGGTCGAAGACTGTTAAATAGCATCCCATCATACATAAGGGGAATTAACAACAGACCCCTGGCTGTCTTAAAGAGGGAACTGGACAGATA